TCCAAGGTTCGCAGCTTTACGATCTCTTTGTGAGTTCGTTAGTTTACTTTTATCTTATTTGTATTTTCTTTCATCTCCTTTCTCCAAGTCAATCGCCAGCCACTTTCAACCTCCCCCACCCAATTCATCTTCTAGCTCCATCACCTAAATCCCACCCACCAACCCACCACCTAGCCGCCCCCTTCCCCCTTTGCCACCGACCCTCTCATAATTTCCCCTCCTTATGATGATTTCAATCATCATAATGACTTCCTAATTTAGCTCAAGCATGAGAGGGAAAATTTAAATTCATTTGAAATTCAAATTCGAATTTCAAATTCTTTCCATATAGGGAATTCCAAATTAGGAAAGTATCAATCATGAATTCAATTTCAAAATAAATCAAATTGAATTTATTATTCTCTTTCCTAATCTTCATCGCCTATTTGGAAACTCCCATATTTCCCTCCCCAATCCCCTCCACCCCTCATAATGCCGCCGGCCCCATGATGGGCTTCCCCCCATTAAATGCTCATTTAATCCCTCAACCTTATTTGAAATTTGAATTTAATTTCAAAACATTTTCCCTCCAAATCCACTTAAGTTGAAATTAATTTCAATTTTCCAACTCCACCTCTCTCTCCTCTCATTAATTCCCCTTCCAATTCTCAGCCTTAGCTGCCTCCAACCAAACTCTTCTCATGTTTTTCCTCCCTCCCCGTGAGATTTCTGCTGGCTGTTCCCATATTCCAGCCATATTGGATTACTGTTATGCACTGCTGAAGGCCAGAGATTGCTGTCCAAAGGCTCCGAACACCCTATCAAAGCTGTCCAAATTTCTGTCGAACATAGGGAGCTGTCATCCAGATTTTATGGGCATTGTTTGGAGGCTTTCCAAACTATTCCTTCTTGTTCCCTTGCTGTCCAGCAGAATTCCGAAGCCTGAGTTGTTGTCCAGCTGACCAAATATCTCTGCTTGCGGCCCAAAGAACCAGCCCAGTTTGCTGTCCAGATTCTTGGACAGGCGCCATGTGTTATCCTGAGTATTGGAGCCTTGAAAGCTGCTATCCAAAAGCCTACAAGTTGTTGTCCATAACTTCCAAGACCCAAAACCTGCTGTCCAGACTTCCGTAGGTGCTGTCCAGAGATTTTGGCTTGCAATCTAGAACATTTCAACAAAGTATTGTGCTGTTCAGCCCACCCGAGATGGGTCGGCTGCTATCTAATAGCAATCAAGAGGTCCATGTTGTCTTCCCACTGGGTAAACTCTCCCTCCAAACTCTCTTATCTTCCCAGTGCACTTACTACTTGTGGTTATATGTTGATTCATGACAATCTTGCTAATTCTTCCCAGTTAAAGCCTAGTAATTAGAAGAGTTGAGTGAGGGATCTCCTCGTAGTGACTAGTCTTATTGTTAGCATTGAGATTTATGGTTGAAAACCAATCATGTATGCAACGTCACATTAATTGACTAATTTGCAATCTTAACTCCTATGCATGTAATTTAGCCTAAGCTTGTCTTACCGCTCTCTGTGTTTTATTTTGTCGTTTAAAATCTAATATAAAATATATAATTATTGTGGCTTCTAAAATTAAGTGTGCAAACTTCCTTAATCTAATCATCCGTGCATGTACGTTTCACATCAGTTTTACTTGGAATTCCAAGTATTTCCTAACAACTTGGTATCAGAGCAGTTTCCTGAGCTAAAATAGAAGCCTTCCTCGTTGATTTCCACTGTGTTTTCCTCTCTGATCTTGTTTTTTTGTTGTTTGGGAGGCCAGATTTGTGTCAAACATGTTGATCTTTTTGCTATTGGAGCCTAAATCCAGGTTCCCATGGCTGGAAGAAAGATGGAAGTGTTGGAAGAGAAGATTGGACAAATGAAATGTGAAATTTCATATCTCCAAACTCAAATTTCAGATATAAAAAAGGATATTTCAACCATCTATGATAAGTTCGATTCAAAATTTTCCATCCTAGAGGAGATGTTGAAGAAAGTGCTCGAGGGCCAAACTAAAATATCGCCGTCAGAGGTGAGGGAAGGCACCGATAGCCAAGAATGTGGGGAAAACCCTAAGCCGATCATACGAATGGAAGATTAAGAGGTGGAGATTTTAAAGAAAACAGAAACAATGCCTCCCCTAGGGTCTATTCCTAGGGAGGAGTCGGGTAGAGTTTATGGGAAGAGGCGTGAGGGGGTTGGGCCTAAGTGGAGGGGTGTTGAAATTTATAGAAGAGGGGCAGAATTTGAAAGGCAATGACTTGATTATGATCGAAGAGGTGTTGAATTTGAAAGGACAGTGGTCGAATATGATCGAATGGGTGTTCAATTTGAAGGGAGAATGTGGGATTGTGATGAAAGGTTTGGGTGAGAGTGAAGGAGGGATGATTGGCATAATTGGGGGGAACCACCCCCTTGGGGAATGGGAAATTATGGAGGGAACAGAGGGAACGGAAACAATCCGAGGGTGAGGAAACTGGAGATGTCAATCTTTGAGGGAGAGGATGCGCACAAGTGGATCTACAAGGTAGAAAGTTATTTCGTCATCAATGGGTTGACGGAGGAGGAGAGACTGACGGCAGCGGGCTTGTGTTTAGAAGGGATGGCTTTGGCTTGGTACCAATGGAGGGACATGCGACGACCCATACGGAGTTGGAGGGAGTTCAAGGATTGATTGGTATAACGTTTATGAACTAGCAAGGGAAGTGACTTCCATGAGAAATTCTTTGCCTTTACAAAAGATGGGTCAGTGATGGAGTACCGGGAGAGATTCGAGTATCTTACTAGCCGATTGGACTGCCTTGACACCAGATATCTGGGCAGCGGTTAGAGTAATGAGACCTCGTAACTTAGGAGAGGCTCTGGAGCTAGCTCAATTGGTGGAGGATCAAAGGCACTTGGAGAGAGAGACAGAAGATAGCAGCTCAGGAGGTTTAAACAGGAGGACAACCACCTTTTTGGCATCCAAGGAGCCGACACTGGGTACTCTTCGGGAGACTCAGAAGGAGAAGACTGTAGGAGTAAGAACTGTGGACAGCTTCAAGAAGCTCGCATAAATGGAATTACAGGAGAAAAGGGCGAAGGGGTTCTGTTTCAGATGTGATGAGAAGTATACGCCTGGGCACAGGTGTAAAGACCGAACTCTTCAGGTTCTTACCGTTCGTAATGAAGAAGGAATGGATGAGGGTGTCGTCTTCCCACCTTGCAGACAAATGTGGGTCTTTGGGAGGGGAGTATTGTTAGACCGGTCCATAGGGGTGTCAATATTTGACATGGCCCAAAAGCTCGACTCGAACCCGACCCGAAAATTCTATGTTAGGGTCAACCCGGACCCAAAACGGGTCGAGTTCAACAATTCGACACATTTCAAAAATCGGGTAGGGTTTGGGTTAACTCTTTGACCCGAAATTGATCTATTTATTTACCTGAAAACCCGTGTTTGACCCGGAAACCCGAGATTGACCCGTTTTCGACCCATTTTTTTACCCGAAAATCGGAGTTTGACCTATTTTTTTACCTGAAAACTATTAATTTTTTCACGGTCTCAGGTCATTCGGGTCGTGTCGGGTTGACCCGGACCCGAAGCGGGTCGAGTTCAGGTCCAAAAACCGACTTGTTTGTAAAAATAAGTTGGGTTTGGGTTGACCCGAATAGTGCCAAGTCAATTTCGGGTTCGACCCAAACCCAACCCGTGACCCGAAATTGACACCCCTACCGGTCCAGCCGGTCTACATGGGACCGGCCCAGGCAAAACAGAGGTGGAAGCTCCTCTCCTGCATATGCCGATCGGACCGCAAAATCAAAGGAAGCTTTTTGGATAAGATTTTTGAGGGATTCAGTAGGGAAATTTGAAAGTAGGGACTGTTTAGAGATTTCCTTTTGAATTGTATGCATTAAATAGTTTATTTTCCTAGGGTTAGAGCATTTTGAATTTGGATGAAATTTGAGGTTTTTGGGCTCTAGTGGCATCTAGAGATTTGGGAGAGATAGATCCACCTCTCAAATAGAGGATCAATTGTATCTTATTATTCTTCTTCCGTTAGTTTGATTATAGCAATAAAATTACTTTTTTCTGATTTTTCCTTTGGATTTGTGGATCGTTCTCACCGATTACATCAAGATAGTTAGGTTTTACATGGGAATTCCAAATATTTCCTAACACAAACCTAGTCATCACTTGATATTTCCATTGGTATTTACTAATAATTATAAACCTCTTATATAATTATAAGCTCCATTTTATCTACTAAAAAAACCCCACAATATTCTTAAAATAACTTCATTATTTCAATATTTTCCTTCGTTCAAAAGAACTCTCACTAATTTAACCAGGTTATTAACCAATATAAATCATATAAAGATTCTTACATTGCTTGTAAATAATTCGCATTGCACTATTATTTAACTATATTAAATGAAAAATAAGTTTTGATCCTCTATAATTATTCTATCCAAAATATCACATTTCTTCTAAAAAATTGATATAAAAAAGCTTATTCTCCAATTATTTAGCACTCCATCTTTAAGAATTTCTATTAAAAAACTATTAGTTAGGCTACTTCAATATCTAACATTATCCTACATTTCTATATAAACTTCTCATTTCACCGAAAACCTCTACCTTTACACAAATAGCTAACTCAACTTCCATTTTTGAATCAGTCAAGATTACACTTAATGGATCTACTAATTCTGGTCTTCTAAGGAATTACTTGAACCTTTCATATAATGATCATCCAACTTCATCATATATCCTTTTTCGGAAATGATGCTCTCATTAGCAGGAATAGGAATTGGGAAAAGGTCATGTTTTTGTCATGGAACACAACTCATGCAAGCCGAACTTAGTCATTTGTGGGGAACAGAGGGTATTTTAGCTGCATTTTTTTCAATAAACCCAGTGATTTATAAAAGTAAGAAACGAATGGTCAAGCTTGAAACAGTTTTCATGTAAGGTTTCACTTCTATTTGCAAAATTAAAAGAACACAATAGAACTATAAAGCGAAATATTGCTTACCAAAATAAGACCAATAATATTTGTAGGGTTCCCAGAGTAGATTGGCACACGACTATGTCCTTTAGTCAATATCAAGCTCATAGTCTGCCTATCGTGGCAAGATACGGTCAAAAGTCTACAAAACATGAAAAAAAAAAAAAACTGTAGATGCATATAATTTCATAAAGAACATACATGTCAAGCTTGGCATTTATGTCAAGGGAAAATGTATCAGATATTGGTGTCATAGCATCTTTGGCGGTCTTTTGCGTCAAATCCAATGCTCCAGTAATTATAGTAGTTTCGTCATGAGTCAACTCCCCACCCTTCCCAGCCTGAACCAGCAAACTTAATTTAAAAAACAATATACATCACAATTATCAGTACACATTAGCTCAGCACAACTGCAAAGAATATGCAAAAGACCATTATGATCACCATCATTAGTCTTATCTAGACTTGATTATTTTTTATTGAAAAGAAGAGTCCAAGACCTTCTCATTAAAAGAAGAAACAAACTATAAATAAAAAAGCATATAGAGAGCAAAAAAATCAAATATAAAGCAATACTAGACTATATTGTATGAAGATACAACTCAGAAAATCCGTATCCTACATAGCTTTCTTGATTTTAACAAACTTATGCAATAATATGAAGAAATCCACAGACATGCTAGACTAATGTATCAAAGTATTTTGTCTTCTATTTTCTTATGGTTGAAGTTCTATTTCCCTCCCCCATATTAACTAAAAAGCTGCTAAGAAGAATGTATCCCGAAGACCTTTATAATTAATCATAACGTGCTTGGTCCTCCAACTACCAAAAACAGTTTGGATACTACCAAACTGGATATTTACCTGAAAGTTATCCAAAAGCCTTCTCCAAGTATTACTAATAGGCCAGTAATTGAAGTAAAAAAATAAAGTAATTCCTTGTATAGGCGTTGCACATGTTGAATGTTATGGAAGAGTCCCCAATTTATGAAGATAAATCTTACATGGATTTTTGTCCAAATAAGTAAACCAACAAAGAGTAGCAACTTTGAAAAGGGAAATATATTTCCAGGATACATCGTACTTGGATTTATTGTCAAATAAGAAAACTAACCAAGAATAGTTATTTTGAAAGAAGCAATAAATTTCCAGATCCAATTTATAAATCACAGACAGCGTTCCAAATTCATAAGAAAGTACAGTGAGATTTAACAAACAATTTATCACAAACAAAACACTCAAATGAGACGAACCATTGCTTTGTCCTTCTTCTATAAATTAATGACAAGAAAATTACTAGTATGAAAGATAAATATGATTGAAATTTCAAACAAAAGCTTAAGAAAACATATAAAAAATCTCAAAAAAATTTGTCACATTCAACCAACAACAACAACATCAAGCCTATATCCCATTGAGGTAGTCATATACAACAACAACATAAAGCCTTTATCCCACTAGGTGGGGTCGGTTACATGAATCTTTTTTCTCCATTGTGTCCTATTAAAAGTCAAATTCTCATTTAAATCTAATAAGGAAATGTCATTCCTAATATTTTCTAACCAAGTCTTTTTAGGTATGCATCTACCTTTCTTAACATAAGTCAAATCTAATACCTCTACTTTCCTAACCGAGTCATCGGAAGGCCGTTGTTTTATCTGACCAAACCATCTAAGGCGACTCTCTCTAATCTTATCTTCTACTGGAGCTACTCCAACCTTTTCACGTATATGCTCATCCCGTATCCTATCTCTAAGGGTAAAGCCACTCATCCACCTAAGCATCCTCATCTCTGTCACACTTAACTTAGTATTATGCTTCTCTTTTAATGGCCAACATTCAGCACCATAAATCATTGCAGACCTCACCACCATCTTATAGAATTTTCCCTTAAGTTTGAGGGGTACTTTTCTATCACACAACAAGCCTGATGCATTCCTCCATTTCAACCATCTAACTTGAATTCTGTTGATAATATTCCCATTTATATCACCATCACTCTGAACAATAGATCCCAGATATCTAAAACGTGTACTCTTATTAACAACTTGATCGCCCAAAGTCACAATCCCCTCACTAGGTCTATTACTACTAAAATTACACTCCATATATTCCGTTTTAGATCTACTCAAGCGAAAGCCTTTAGAATCTAAGGTTGACCTCCATAAATCAAGTTTACCTTCAACTTCCTCTCTAGTCTTATCAACAAGAAGAATAACATCAGCAAAAAGCATACACCAAGGTACATCCTCTTGCAAATGTCTAGTGAGAACATCCATGACTAAAGCAAAAAGATATGAGCTTAAGGCTGATCCTTGATGTAATCCAACCGAAATAGGAAAAAACTTGGTCAAACCACCTTGTGTTTGAACACAAGAAATAGCTCCTGCATACATATCTTTAATGATTTGAATGTAAGCATTATTAACTCATTTCTTTTCAAGAACTCTTCATAGCACTTCTATTGGAACTTTATCATATGCTTTTTCTAAATCAATAAGATCCTCCTTATTTTCTCTATATTTCTCCATCAAACCTCTAAATAAATGTATGGCTTCCATAGTCGACCTACCCGACATGAATCCAAATTGATTTTGAGAAACATTAGTAGTATCATGCCGCAACCTATGCTCCATAACTCACTCTCATAGTTTTAAAGTATGACACATTAACTTAATTCATCTATAATTCGCACAATTTTGTGCATAACCTTTATTCTTAAAAATATGAATTAACACACTCATTCTCCATTCATCTGACATCTTTTTAGTCTTCAAAACAGTATTAAAAAGTTTAGTAAGCCAAGAAATTCCTTCATCTCCTAAGCATTTCCACACCTCTATTGGAATATCATCAAGTCCAACAGCTTTTCCACCCTTTATTTTCTTTAAAGCCTCTCCAACTTCAGTTTTACTAATACGCTGATAAAAACATAAATTTTTATTTTCATTTAGGGTGCTAAGGTCACTACAGTCAATCATATTTTCACAATCTTCATTAAAAAGTTTAGCAAAATATCTCATCCACTTTTGTTGAATATCATCTTCTAAGAAAAGTATTTTTTGATCTTCATCCTCAATACACTTCACTTGAACTAAATCCTTACTACTCTTATATCTTTGTTTGGCTAACTTATACATATATATTTCTCTCTACTTAGTATCTAATATATTATATAAATCACTAAAAGCTAAGGTCTTTGAATCGCATATTGCTTTCTTAGATCCCTTACAAGCTCTTTATATCTTTCCCAATTATCAGAGTTTTTAAAATTAAACTAATTTTTATAACAAATCTTCTCATTTTTAATCTTTTATTGCACATTTGGATTTCACAACCAACTATTTTTACTATTAGGAGTTTTTCCATTTGATACTCCAAGCACATCTTTTGCAATATTTTTAATATCACTAGCCACTTTTTCTCACATAACATTAGCATCCTCATGCATAGACAAAATCTTAAAATCTAAAATCTTACTCTCAAAAATATTTTTATTAATATTATTTAAATGCCCCCATATAATCCTAGAATATCGTTTTACTTTATTTTTTTATTTTTTGCCTCTTTATCTTAAAATCCAAAACAAATAATCTATGTTGGGTATATAAATTTTCACTTATAATAACTTTACAATTTTTGCAATCTAAACGATCTAATTTTCTTAGAAAAAAATAGTCAATCTGAGTTGTACCATATCCATTTTTATAAGTGATGAGATGCTAATTCATTTTCTTAAATAAAGTATTAACAATTAAAAAATCATAAGCTAAACAAAAATATAATATGGTCTTCCCACTTTTATATGTTCCAAACACATGGCCACCATAAATGCTTTTAAAATCATCTACCTCTGTACCAACATGTCCATTTAAATCTCCTCCAATAAAAACCCTTTCTTCAAGAGGTATTTTTTGTATTAATTCTTCTAAGTCATTACAAAATTTTAATTTAGAACTCATATCCAAACCTACTTGAGGAGCATAAGCACTTATAATATTAACAATCTTAGCATCAACAATAATTTTTAGAGCTATAATTCTATCTGTAATCCTATTAATTTTTATAACATTATCCTTCAAACTCTTATCTATAATAACACCTACACCATTTCTAGTACGACTCCTACCCGAATACCAAAGTTTAAAACCTAAACTATCAATTTTTTTAGCCTTCTCTCAAACCCATTTAGTTTCCTGAATGCACAAAATATTTAACTTCCTATGAATCATAATATCTATTAATTTTATTCATTTTCCTGTAAGGAAACCTATATTTCTAAGTTTTTATCCTAATTTTAGTTTCATGTTTTTTAGTCTATGGACTAGCTTCTTTGCCCACATCCGTCCTTGATGTGGGAATCCTTGCCTATTTAACACTGAACCCGGGCGCCGGTGCAGCGGCCCTTGCACACTTATCAGTGAATTCAGGTCATATAACGCGTCGCTTCTAGGGGACATCCTAGCATTAACACAATTTCTTAAAGGATTAATGTCATTTTTATTCGACAAGTTTTACACTGGTTGTCGACTACCTAATGCAACACTCCACTTTTCTCATCCAGGATTTGGGACCTGGCAACGACAGTGTTAGGTCGTCACATTCAACAAATCCTACAAACTTAATGGAAGAAGAATTATGAAGAGAAAAAAATAGGAAAGCATTGAAAAGACAAAAAGCAAAGCTCAAACTTACAAACAAATTGCCTATTAAAAATTTCCTCCACTCTCACAGATGATCAAGGAATTGAATGCATATCAAAAATTAAATTGTAAAAACTATGGAATGGTTTCCAGTACATGTCTCAAAAACCTATTTATAATCGTGATTGAATAAAAGGAATAAGAAACCATCCGAGGAAAAAAAAATACTTGAGGAACGAACAAGTCATTATTCACGCCTTATCTCTCAAGTTAAAGTCACACAAGATCCTTAATTCCCACAAAACCCTACAATTCTAGATGAATCAAAAATCACATAAGAATTGCTAGTCGCAATTCATGCAACTCTGTTGCATTGAAGATGGAACTGCACCCAAAAAAAAAGATATATAGTAACCGAAAATAAGGCAATCAAACAAGCCAATGCAGAAAAAAAGTGCTCCCAACCATAAATAGCAGAAATTAAGAATAATATAACAATAGTCTTGGGAATAGCATAACATTACACACATGTAAATAAAAACTCAAACGTACAATACTAACTTATTACAATCAAAATTTAAAAAAACAAATTAAATTCAAATTCAAATACCAAAATGATCATCACAACACAACCTTTTCAAGATGTAACAAAGGCCAAATAACAAGTCAATATTTTCCTTATTTTGAAATTGATTATT